GAGGAGAGAGGGAGAGAGGGAGAGGGAGGGGAATTGATGCGAGGAGGTGGTTGTTGGAAGGGAGTTGAGAAGTTAAGAGAGGGTTATTGTTGGATTTGAAGAGGGGTATTGAAGGGCTCTTATTGAGTAGTTTGAAAGAGGATTAATTTGGGACAGCCATTGTGGATTTGAATTGGGATGTCCAAAGTGTTTGATTGTCGTCGAATAGGGATATCGAAAACTGTCAATATGATTGCTCGATGTGCAATTTATGGCCATCATCACACAGCGTGCTAACACATCAGATTCTACATGCTGATGTGTATTGAAAATGGGCAATCTCTAAGTAGAGTTATGTGGAAGAATAGCAAACTCTACTTTGAAAGTTTGGGGTAGGTATTTTGGATCTTTTGGTCTTTGATGTGAAACTTTAGGAATCGGGATAAAATATCACGGATTCAGGAGATGTCGACAAAGGAATAGAGGTATAAAATAGAAGTTCCAGCAAGGAGAAAAGCAGGATGGCTACATGATCTCTGATATCACATCATGCAGAATAGAAGTATAAATGGTTCTTGTTTTGAGAAATGCTTTGGAGCTTGAATAGATGCCTCGCATAAGCATCTTTGTTAATGACAATGCGAATCTGCATGAGATTTTTAGCATGGGCATGGAATTTGGGTCTATGAGACATCTGCACTCAAAATACGAAGCAAACGGATTTGATAAGCCTCATATTGAGGTTCCCGCGGTATACGAAAAGCACTTCAGGATGCATTTTGAGAGGCTGATTTGAATATCTCAGCTTGTTACGAATAATTGACGAGAGGAGACTTTGCTTCTATCGATATCTGTCTACATCTCTTCATCGGCTTCCATCTCCCTAGAAACTTAATATCACCATCGATCTCCAGAAAGAAATACGAAGAAAAATCATTTACACAAGTCGTTACGTAAAATTCTATCATATTCGTTCTCTTTGACTCGGGTCACGGTATTGAGGCGGAAACTAACACGGGAAGACGGGAGGTAATAATTTGAATACTCCTATATTCTTACCCAAGAGCCAAGTCATCAACCTGCTGTTACACACATATATATTTTCCACGACTGAACATTATCTCCAAGATTATGGCGTGAATGCGTGACACGTGATGATTTTGATTACTCCTCATCCGACGCATTCCACGCATTCATCAATGTCTCACCACTTATCATCCCGCGCCCCGCGCCGCAGCAGATTCTGGATATAGGGCTGAAACATATATCCATTATTAGCAATTGCTAAAAACTATCTGGGTCCCCGAAAAATGTCTATCATCGGAAGATATCGTGATTGGATTTCTTTCATCTCAGCTCCGAGCGCTTCGCAAAGTTTTCAGTTGGTGATGGTTTCGCCAAGAACGAATTGAGGAGAAGATGGAGGAGGCGGGAGAGGCGAGGTAAGAGAGAGAGACACGTCATATGGCGTGTATTTTTTGGTGGGAGATGCTGATAGAATACTTAGAGTAATAAATATGAACAGGTCTGAATTTGCTTGCTGGCGAGAGGTGAGCTAGGTACCTAGGTAAGCTTACTATGGAAAACGTCAACCATCAAAACAGTATTCGTGAAAGTACGATAATAAGGTGTTGAGGTATTGATACTTATGGGTAATGCATGATTTCACGTCGTACAATAACCCATCCACATTGCACAAGCCTAAATCCGAATATCAAAACTGGAAACGCATTCGATAATTGAATGATCTCGTAATATTTACACCAACCAACAACCTCGCCTCGTACATACTCTTGGGTTGTCTCAGTGGAATTCGGGTTCCATCCCAGCCATATTCACATGAGCCTCATGCCTCAAAGTTCTCAACTCTTCTCATTACACGAGAAAAAGTTTCGTGGTCTAGCGATCGCCAGTGTAATATTCGGTGAAAGAAGCTTGTTTAAAGCCCCATTCTAAGCCTGCTTAGGAATTTGAGCATGTTCTAAGATTTTGGACATGATACAGACGTAAATCATGCTCGGATCTAAGCCCATCTTCGTATGCAAATGTCAAGTGATATTGTAGCTGAAAGTTCAATTGGTAAAGCTGCGTGTTGTCGGATGCCTTTGATATGTGGTTTTGACGTTTGAGAGATAGGATATGGTTAGAACTTGAATTGCTTTGCTAGGGTTCAGTCTTTGATTTGGATACCTACACGAACTGCACGAGCTGCCTGGGTATGCTTATTTTGAGATCTGGGGATAGCAAGGTGAGTGCTTGTTTTAGTGACAGTACCATTGCGGCGGAGACGTGGATGAGACGGTGATGTGAGACTTTGTTGGGGCGTGCTTATGAGTTTATATCTATTGGGAGGTTATTTGATGACATAAATATCTGGGAGAAGTATATATAGATGCTCATCTTCCTCTTCCAGTTTCATCTTCACAATCGCAATCAATACATCACTTCACACTACATCAAACTTGCACATCACCATCAACAACCAACAATCAAACCCTCCAGCTCAACACTCACACCACATTTTAACTCCACCCCAAAATCAAAATGTACTTCACAACTATCGCTACCCTCATCACCTCCCTAGCTCTAACCTCTGCACTCCCTCTCTCTCCACCTCTCAACACAGCATCTCTCACCTTCCACGGTGCAGCAGGCGCTCAATACACACTATCCATTCCACTCGATGGTTCGACTACTAGTACCAACAATGTTTTGAGCATTTCTTCTATCTCTACGGATGGCTTTGATGTGCAGAAGAATTGTAAGATTCATGCTGTGGATTACACACCCGCTTTGGTTGTAAGTTTTGGCTCTATTTCTCATCAACTTTCACCCTTTTCCCATTCATGAACCACTCTCCTCACTCTTTCTGTCCCACATCATATTCCTTTCCTCCAATCAACAGAAAATCATTTCATATATCTCCAAGCTCGATTTCTAATTGTCTAAATAGCAAGGACCACCAAATACATGGCAGGTCGGACCACCTCAAACGATCATCGATATATCTTGTACAAGCGGAGGTTCTCCTTCGGGTCAAGTGATTAGCATTGAATTAGATGGGGCTGCGGATGCAAAATATTTCATTAGTGTACCGCTTGGTGGAGGACCAGTCTATACTAGTATGTATTACCTATCTTCTCTGGCTTTGCGCTCTTCCCTACCTCCTTGCGATCAATCCTATCCCCTTCCCTCTCAAAACTCCACAAAACCAACACACGTACGAACAAACACTAATAACCTCCTTCCCACAGACAACGCCCTCTCAATCTCCCAAGTCCGCTCCACATACAACATCCCCAATTGCAAATTCGATACAGTCGATTACCCACCAGCATTTGTGCAAATCGCTAGTGGTGTTTGGTTAGTAATCTTGAGTTTTATTCCTTCACAGTCATTCATTAAATCTCAACGCTCATTTGCTGATAAAATTATTCTCTATCTGTAGGAACATGGGACCTCCACAGACCGTCAGAAGTGTTTCTTGCCCTGCATAGATACCTAGTAACTTTACGCTCACTCGCTTGTCCGTTGAGTAATCAATTTCTTCAGCTCTTGAGTCACGAGTTTGGAGGACTTGGTATGGAAAGGAGGAATTCTATGAGATGAGATGAGACACAAGAAGCAGGATACAACGGGTTAATTTTCCTACAATTTCCTTAACGCATTAATATCAAACGGTCCTTACGGGAAAATTGGTGTTTCACCTCCAACAGAGAAGACTGGAGAAGTAATGGATGGAAATGGAAAAGATTCGCACAGCATACGCATTAGCATTGGAGTTACACGCACATGAGCACACAGATATGAATATGGATGAATATGGTACGGGTTATGATGGGATGAGATACGATCTTTACAGCTTAATACTCGATTCGATACTTAGCTAGTTTTTGTTTGTTACAGTTACACATACATACCATTAGGTAGTATGAAATTATGGATACTAGTATTTTCCAACTCTTCTCTTGTAATAGGTCGTAATTCCTATCTTTGTTTGGATGGTATACATATACATACATATACATACTATGAAGTTTCATACAAGATACAACATTAATACCTATACGCAGATAGTCCGCCGTAGCGAAGAAAGTCCCAGATCCCACGAGACGATGAGTCCTATCATTGTCACACACGAGAAAAAAGAAAGTAACAGAAAAATACACATAACCATAACCATCTGAATTCTTCCTCGTCACTATCACTCCATCCATCCCTCCCTCCCTCGTTTCAAAAAATCTAGTACAAACTAAGGTTATCTGAAAAACTACTCATCAACCACCCTTCCTCACATTTCCATCTCCATCTCTATCTCCATCTCACAACCCCCAAACCGGAGAATTAACCGGAGGGAGACTTGATTCTTCGTTTTCGTTTGCTTTTCAAGACTAATTAACCTAAGGTACTCCGTTCCGTGTAAACAAACCTATAAGGTAATAAGGTTCCCCCCACCCCACTGAACTGTGGGACCGGAGCTTTGAGCTCAACCAATCAAATCAGAATCGATGAGTATGGATACGAATTCAGGAAGGCCATGTCAGAATCATGAGGTATGTTGAGGGAGAGAGGGAGGGAGGGAGGTTTCATGTTTTATGTTTTATATTTCTATTATACTCTTTTCCGTGGAAGATGATGGATGCTGAGTGCGGGGTTTGGATTGTTTTATTCATATCATATCATATCTTGATAGGGATAGGGATGGGGATAGGGATAAAGGAAGCTAAAGCTGGATTGTGATGATAAACGGAACTGGTGAACCGGAACCGGGACCGGAGAGTTTTTCTTGTGACATTGGTATTTACGGACGATTTCTGGTTTCTCATACCCAAGTTTCTCGAGATGACTTTGATGATTTGGGGGTTAGAAAATGTATATATGGAGCTAGATATGTGCTCTTCGAATACTATCTATCATTCAGGATCATTCTCGACTAGATTTCCAACATCACTTTACTTGACTCTCCTAGTTTTATTCTCAAGCCTCATCCAATATTCAACATCCTCCCCATCACCATCAATATGACCTCATCCCCCCCATCATCCTCATCTGCATCCCCTCCACAACCCTACCTTTCCCTCTCCGCCCAAAAGAAAACTACACAACACTCCCTCATACCCCAAGAATGGCGACTTCCCACCGAAAAATACCAAAACCTGTCCAACGTGATGGAAGTCCCGCTTAGCTGCGGACTCTTAAACGAGACCGAATATCAGATTACTTCTGACTACGACGCCACTGCGCTTCTTGAATTGCTGAAGAATGGAGTCTTCACTGCGGAGCAAGTAACCATTGCGTTTTGCAAAAGAGCGGCTATTGCTCATCAATTAGTGAGTTTAGCCGTGGCATATTTGTTGGAGATGTAGAAAATATTGAGCTGTCCAAAGGAGAAAGAAAGCTAACAATTTTCAAAATCAACAGACAAACTGTCTGACCGAAATATTTTTCTCCGCAGCAATCGAAAGAGCCAAGATCCTCGATCTCAAATACGCCTCCTCGAAATCAAACGGGAAACCTCTTCCTCCGCTATTCGGCCTACCAATTTCCCTGAAAGATAGTTTTGACGTCGCCGGATACGATACTTCGACTGGGTTGGGTTGTTATGTAAATGCTCCCGCCTTGGAAGATAGCGCACTAGCTGCTATGCTTCTCGATTTAGGTGCAATTCTATACTGCAAAACCAATCTTCCCCAATCAATCATGACAGGAGATAGTCACAACAACATCTTCGGACGAACGTTGAATCCACGCAATAAATCACTAACAGCGGGTGGAAGTACTGGGGGTGAAGGTGCGCTTCTTGCTCTTCGAGGTAGCATTTTGGGTATTGGAACGGATATTGGTGGAAGTATTCGTGTTCCAACGGTATGTAATGGTATCTATGGGTTTCGACCCAGTGTAGGATTGATTCCTCATGGTGGTGTAAGAGATCTTACTCCGCCTGGAACAGATGGTGTTAAGTCGACTGTCGGACCAATGGCGACTTCGCTCCGGGATTGCGAATTACTCCTCAAGTCAATACTTCAAGCAGACACCTGGGAGTATGACAGTACTGCAATTTCGATTCCATGGCTAGATGTCAAGCCAGCACACAAACTCCGAGTTGGTGTTGCTCAAAATGATGGAGTCTTTACTCCATCACCCCCAGTTCGACGGGGTTTCAAGCAGGTGGTTGAGTCCCTCGGTGAAAACAACGAATTTGAGATAATTGCTATTAATCTACCCGACGTCACATCGATCTACCAAGACTTCATCAGCTATATGACACTATCAGGAAGCGATGTGAGTCCAGTGAATCCCCGACTAAATAGCTTTAGACACACAAGCTGACTTCAAAAGCACTATCTAGAACAGTTCGAGCGAACAGGAGAGCCAGCAATCCCATCACTAGCAAAAACCGGCCTTCTATCAGCGCCAGGCACGACTTTGCAAGGCTTCTTCGAATTGAATGACCGACGAGTACAAATCGCGAAAACATATCTTAAACTTTTTCGCGATAACGATCTAGACGTAATTCTCATGCCACCTGCAGCGCATACTGCAGTTCCCTTGGACTGTTGGTCGAGAGTGGCTTATACATGCTTGTGGAATTATCTTGACTATCCAGCCATTGTGGTTCCGGTAGATCAAGTGCAAGATACAGACTTGGCTGATGATTTGAGTAACGCAAAGTTCGGCCCAGACGATGAACAGATTTATAAATTGTGTAAGTATCAATATTTCTCCAGTTCAGTAAAACCCAAGCTGACATATACTCCCAAAGATACCGGTCCTGAACAGTACAAGGACGCACCCGTTTGTGTGCAACTTGTAGGGTATAGACACAAGGATGAAGCTTTGCTGAAGGCGGCAGCTGTGTTGGACTCGATCATAAAAAAGGCGTAGAGGAATGATAGATCTCATTAGATTGTTCGATCGTCAGAACTGTTCGACTGGATATTAAAAATTCTTGGATTTCAAAATTTTGATTCTCTCATTGTAGGCCTGCGGTCCGAACTATTGGCAATCGTGCGCTAGGTTGTCTGGTGAACGACAGATAGCTATTCGCCAGATGAACTCCTGTATTTGGTCTTCGGATGAACCTTTCTTTCCTATCATAGCTTTCTTAGCATAGTTCCTTAATCTAATTATTAATTTGCAAAGTTGTCCCCACCTATAGGACAAATTTACGTGATATTTGTAACAACAGAACCTTACAAATATCCATCATACGAACATTAGCTACATCTATCAACCAGTCGAACAAGTCGCAGTAAGAGCATTCAACACGGGACAAGGTTTGTGAATTGAATCAAACCACCTAGTTGTAAGATTCGCATCTCTCTCATGCCAAACTCTCGACAAAAATGTCTTCGTAGCCTTTTGCATAAACTGAGCGAAATCATCCACGCAATCATCCACGCGCTCAAGCGTCTTGACCCGTAAATTTTCATCTCTAACCTCAACAGCAGCGATAATAAATGGTAATGTTACAAAGCGCATAGATCTCTTTGTGACCAATTTTGCCAGTTCAAGTTCCATCATTACTTCTTTCGACCAGATTTCCGCTTGAGAATCTTCCTGGCCAAATGGATATCGTAATCTATGACCAACTAGGAGAGCTCCCAAGCGGTAGATTTTGGCTTGCGCGAGAAGATGAACAATTTCCGTTGAATCAAAGCGCTCAATGAGTCCATTTAACTGAGATGGCTGCCATGACTCCACAATGCAATGTATGTCATCTAGCTGTTTTTGTAAACGAGCCAGGTCATTCGCGTCAGCTGTGTTGAGGAGTGTGTTACTGATCACACATAGATCATGATAATAGGGTAATAGAGGTAAACAGAGGCCAAGACGACAGTCAATAACAACAGAGGTTGGTACTCGGATCCTCAGTATTGGCTTTTGTCGATGCATAAGGCAGTCCATAGTTTCCAACAGGATTAAAAAGCTTCCCCACGGGTCATCTTGTGCACCAGAAACAATTGTTCCCATGAACGGAGTGGTTGTACCTAGACAGTGACGACAAATGTCTGGAACTCCTACGCCGATTGTGGAAGATATTGAGAACGCAAGCAAGCCTCCGAGAGCATGGCACAGAACTGCATCTTGTGAAGATAAAACAGGCAATGAACGTAATGCGTCCATAGCCTTCAATATATAGCGAACACTGAAAGTTGTACCCACATCACCTGCGGTGTCTGTTTGAAGTTGTTTTACTGATAGAGCACATGCGATAAAAGCATCTCTAAACGATGGAAGAGCACTCGATAGCTGAACAGAGAATAATTGCTGCTTCCCGGATTGAGAGCTTGGATACGCAATGAATTGATCTAGATTTCCCGATTGGCTTAGAAAAAACGACAACAACTCCTCCTCTTCTGGCTGTGAATCAGAAAGCACATTCAAACATGAATCAATGCTAGGCTGATTCTGCGCCAGCTTACTGACTTTCCTCGAGACCAATCTAGTCACCGAGTCCGTGTAATGTGGTCTCCTGCCCACGGGCCTCATAGGCCGTACCGTTAAACAACTCAAATCCAGCCTGTCACATCGTGCACAGCTGACGGAGATAGATGCGCGTTCACATCGTTCTTTAAGTCTGTAGCATCTGTCACATGCAGTTCTAAATTTCGTATTCCTAGTGGCCGGTGCCTCCATAACGTTTGGGTATGCCCTTTCAAACACCTGGTAAGAAGAGTGCTTCAATGAGCAAAATTGGATCTCTCTATCAAGAAGAATATAACGAAGGCGTCTAGGATTTACCAATCAACGCATCTATTATCCGCCACTTCAAACAGAAAAGCAGTGATCATGAAAATCCATTTGTCTGTTGAGTTCAACATTTCTCGTTTGTTATCAGATGCATTATGTAATCAAGTCACTCCTCGACGAATCATATTAGATTTTACCCCTTCTAGCAGCATTTCTCTCCTGAATACATACTACCTAGGTAGGCAGAGCACTACAATCCTGTATAACAAACCTCTTATATCCTCACTATATAAGATTATCAATCAGCAGATTCAAAGTATCAACAGCTTCAAGCATATCGACACCACAGTCTAGCCTAAGGTTAAATCAGCATCACAAACTAAAAGTCCCGAAACAGAGAAAACCATCTACCTATTTTCATTTTATATACTTCGGCTTGGATGAGATGTTTGAGACTAGGGTTGGGATGGTATATAGATGTGGGATATGGAGAGAAATGAATGTATCAAGTAAATGCATGAGTTGAATATGAACTTTGAGAGCTGGGATAGGAAGGGCCCAAAGGACTGAGGGTCAAGCTGGTAACTAGGCCGCATTACAAGCTGACCTGTTGAAGATTCCTAGACACGATATTTCTAATATTTCTTAATTTTGGGGACTATAAGAAGGTGTGATATCTACGTTATAGATTGCTTTGATAGTATCACCGCCATGTACCATATGTAGTAAAAACGCAACATCAAAGAAAGCGCTCAAAAGCACAATGCAAACACGTTTCACCCAAATCAATTCGCCCCCACAACTCCCTCCCATCTCACCCTCGCAACCTCCTCGTCTCTCTTCCCCTTCCTCGGAACCAACATCCACAACCCCGAGATCGTCACCAAAAGCGCCAAAACAACTGGTTGCAATGCCTTTACTCCCTTTGCCTGGGCAAGCGCTCCCACAATAAAAGGAAACACTGCTCCACCACTTCCTCCAAATGCAGTTGCGAACCCAATACTCCCAACATGTAATTCCTTCGGCATGAGTTTCGTGACCAATACAATAGCTGTTGGGAATAAAGGACCAAGGAACATTCCCAGGAATGCTATTGCAACTGCGGAGACGTAGAAGGAGGGGATGAGCCAGAAGAGAAGTTCAAGAGCTATGCAAATTCCAAGGTAAACGAGGACAGATGTGAATTCGCCTAGCCAAGCGGTCAGGAAAGCGAGACCCATGCGGCCAACTGTCATACCGGCCCAGAAACCGGTTGAGGTGAGAGAGGAAGAAAAAGTTGTGCCGGAGCGAACTTGGGTCATGAAGGTTACGATCCAACCGCCTAGTGATACTATGATGGTTGTTAATGCGTTGAAGTTTGATGATATGTAGAAACGAGAAATTACCTTCAGCTCCTACATAACCAAAAATGAAAGCTGCAAATATCCAGGTCAATTTGTTATTTAATGCTTCTCGAAGTCTCCCGGTCTTAGCATTGACATCTCGAGGATTCTCCATTGCGTAAACATGACCTGTTTGGGCCCAAAATGCCCATGTCGAAGTAATGAGCTCACTGCCTGCTACTGCTGTCTATTTTTTGTCAGCCACTAGTTCTTAATGGAACGATTTCCAGAATACAAGCGATACTCACCATGATATAATAAAAATAATACCACTCCAACCCCGTCTTAGCTAACATCCCCGCAGCAATCAAAGGTGCAATTGTGCCACCGAAAGAATAACAAGCTTGCAAGAATCCCTGAACTTGATTCGCACTAACCATGTTACCAAGCCAAGCACACCAAGCCGCGTCCACAAGTCCATTACCCATTCCTACGAAGATAAACATGACGACGAGAACTGGATAAGGCGGATGAAGTGAAATTACTACATAGGAGATGAGATGACATAATCCTGCGATGACAGCTACACCTCTTTGCCCGAATTTCACATGGACGGTGTCATTGATTAAGGAGGCGAATGTGTAACCTGCAAAAGGGGAAAGGAATATCAGGGAGATGACGGTGTAGGATAGGTTGTAGTATCGTTCCAGCTTGATATATTTCTCAGTAACAAAATTGCTATTGGCAAGAGCACATGTGACTTACGTATGGGATTAAAGCCTTTATTCGTTTAGTATACGATGTCTCTCGAAGTGAAAGACGGAGTGGAGACTTACACCATAAGAACCATCATTCATACCCATGAGAAAGAAACCCCAAAATGAAGCTCCCACTCGATATACATTCTTGGGAGGATAATTCCATTTCTGTAAAACCTCTACAGCATTGTTTGGTGGAGTCGTATCTTGTCTGATATCTTCTGGATCCGATTCGCCTTGTACAATGCCACTATTGGGAATCCAAGGTGAAGAATCATTGGGAAAAGATTGAAGTTCAACTTGGGTAAGAGTTGTGGTTGCCATGATTGATATGTTGAAGTTGACGTGGTTGTGGCAAGGAAAATCTGTGGAGGAGGAATGTGAAGATAACCTTAATAAAGAGATTCACTTAATCATCAAAATGCACATGAAGATGATTCATGCTCACCACAACCATTATTTGTTTGCCTCTTTGCTTAACATCGCAGTAATACTCGCGATTATATTTTCCGGGGTCCTGAGCCAACAGTTATAGTGTGGGGGAAGTGGCTCGAGAGTGGAGTGGGTCATCAATCTGACAAGACCTCGAGACTCGTTGACGTTGACTAATCATAAAAAAAATCATGATGCAGCATTTGTTAATAAATCAATAGTGAGGACATCGGTTTCAAGAGATGGTGAAGGCAAAAATGCCTTCCTCCCACCCTCACCCATCCAAAGTGACTCAAGACTGGGTCATAAATCTAGCAAGACCTTGACTCGTCGACGGCCAATCATCGATATCATATAATCTATTGCTTTTTATGAACTCATCATTATGCCTATCTACCAATTCCAGAACGACGTTAGAAAAAGTAAAAGTGCCTTCTCCCACCCCCACTCTTCATCACCAACCTATCAACACCTCAATGCCATCCAATCACCATCACCACGGCATCCAAACAAGCATATTTTTCTTTTGCGGTCTGACTCAGTCAGTGAGTGACGCTTCGAAGTATCTCAAAGCCGTTGATAAAGGCATTCTGGAGAAACTTCAAATCACAAAGTGTCGCGTATCTCCTTGGCTAATCCCTGGCAAGGGATGAGCTTCCTAGTCGGAGTTGACGGGAGCGTGGTCCGAAAAATAGGTATGTAAACAAGGCTTTGCACAAGACAACGCCCCGTAGTTTGTTTGTCCTTTTGCGTATGGCGCAAGATTGCCAGCATCTTTGAATCATAACACCGCTCCATTGGTCGGTCATAAATATGATTCTTACCCAACTTATCAACTGCAATTTATATATCACTCACCGATTTCCCCCCTCCCCGTCAGAGAATCTAGAGTCGAGCACACAACTCAACCATCTCTACAATGCCTTGCCACAAAAACACATTTACAACACACTCGATCATATTTTAATCTTTTTTCTCATCATTCATCTCATCTAATCTGATAGAGTATCACTGCCTAGTTTGCTCTCCCCTTTTCTCTTCTCTCTTCCCATTGATCCTTTCTTCCTGACTGGCTACTTGCAAAAGCTACCATACATCTTTCCCCTTCCATCAACCATTCCCCCATCAGATCAACCTCAGCAAGAAAATCAAAAGAAACATAGAAATCCCCTCTCCTCAGCCCCTCTCCATACCATCGCAAAACCAGATGATACGTGATGTAATATAATATGATCCACCCTTGCCCGCTCTCGACTACACGATCCATCCATCGAGTCATCTAATACTTATTGAAGTATCTGATATCTTCCCATTTTGTCTACCACACCACCCACTTCATCTCTCATTCAAAGCTCTCTCCCCATCTGATCCCCTTCGCCCCAAAAAAAAGAATCACCGAATTTCATCCGCCATCTTCACACGCAACCCCCTCCACGATAATTAAAGTCCCTTAAGTCTGCAAAACCCTGAAAAGTCAAAATAAATAAGAACTCCACTTAACGCCACGCTGCACCAATGATTCCTTCCTCAATCCCTCACTCTAACGACGTGCTTTCGCATCATCTGCAGAGTTTTGTTTCGTATGATGTGTATGATACAAGTCTGAATGAATTTTTGTGTTCCCCCCATCGATATGAAAAAGAAACAAGATTGAAAAGTTGCAGTCCAAGTGCGAGAGAAGCGGAAAAAGTTGCATGCTAGCGCCGATGCAATGAAAATATAATAGAAGGCGACTAATTGACTTCAGCATGGCCAGCTATGCTTCCTGGCGAAATTGCTTGATGAGAAGACATAAGTAGTCAGTGATAACACCACAAAGAGGAAGGATGTAATATCTGTGTCAGATATATGCCAAGACATTGTCATGTGATTACTATATCACGAGACAAAGTTGTGTTCGTCCCCCGGTTGATACCATACTCTCATGGTCAAACAAGATCTGATCGGCCTAAATCACCCCCATCTAATGATCGGAAATCAAGGAATCACGAGTCGTCCTCTTGATTATCTACTATCATGCCGTCGTCACCATCAGCATCGCCGGAGGTCGAAGCTAGACGTTCTTGAAGGAAAGCTGTCATAGCAACCAAAGATGATTTGTCAGCTTGAGTTAATGGCTTTTTCTTGGAGAGCTTGGACGCATCTCCTTTTGCAATTAACTTAATAACTGGTTCATCGGCTTCGGACTAAAGGACTTTAGGTTAGATTTGTGTTACGTCATTGTGTTACGTAGATAGGAGGCGTGAGATCTAAGGACAAGAAAACTTACAATTAAGGCATCAATGAGGGTTTGTGTAAGATTGATCGCTGGATTTGCAGTGGCCAGATATGCAAGATTGAGAGCAGCTTGCTGTTCATCAAGACTACGACTGTCAAATTCGGCAGTTTGTAATCGTGGTTTCGAAACAGATGCCCGATTGTTTGCAAAGCTGCGTTGATTGTAATGTCCAAATTCACGATGAACACTGTACAATCAATTAGTAAATTAAAAATTTGCAATAATTGGAAAGAATGACATACCGTGAAATGAAGTCAAGTTTAATGCCCTCCTCTGGAAGCTTGTACACATGACCATACTCTCTCTGCTCATAGAAACCACTACCTTGATCTTCATCTTCAGAAGTAGTGTTCTCAACCTCGATATGACCATTATTTCTAACGCCACGAGCAAGAACAGGCTTAATGAGCGAAGCTCCTTTGATCTTACGGAAACGGTGAGCTGGGCCCAAAGATCCTGGTACTTGTTCGAGAAGATCATCAACATGAGCTGGACATCTCCAAGATCTTCCAGGTGGAGGCTCTTTTGCAAGTGGAGGGTCCAAACAGTCCAAATGCCATGAGAGACTACAATAAGTACAAGGAATAATTGCCCGACTTGGATGAACAGCTGAGAGGTGACAGCCATGACAGAGAATTGGATTTCCTTTGTTGTCCTTTAGCTTAAAGTAATCCGGAGCTTCATCGTAGCCACGATTATTCCTGTTGTAATGGTTAGTAAGAAGAGCCAAGATAATTACCACCAGATGTAAGCTTACTTTGGTTTTTGTACAACACCTTCTTCATACTCTCCTTCAGTGCCGGTCTTGACATTCTCGAAATATTCCCGGATTGCCTTTGGAAGGTGGAAAGCACTTGGATTCTTTCTCTCCATATTTGCCAACAAAGGGCCAAAATAGCCAACTTCATCATCCTTGGATCGAGGAACACTTTGTGCAAGACATTCGTTACAAAACCATTCTTCCGTCGTTAAGGTTGGTGAGTCTGGTGAAAGATCCACGCATTTGAAGTGGAAGGAGCGAGTGCATCCATCACAACAAAGTAATTTACCGTTACCTCCACAAGCTGCACAATAATCGTCGTTTTCTCCAATAGTTCCACTAGCCTTTACACGCATTTGTTAGTTTCCTTCCTTTGAGAATTTCCTTGCAATAACAATAATAACGACTCAACAAATGAGATGCTTGTGAATGATGATTGTGAAGGTGGCAAAGTTTCATGTGTGGGGGCTGTTCAGGCTCGGCAATTACGGAGATGGATGTGATATGAATAATCCACAATCCACAATGGACCATCATCAGAGTTTGCGCTATCCGCCCGGACTTGCTGCTTTTCTCTCTCTCTCTCTCTCTCTTCAACTTTGTCACCAAGAAAAACCCAGCCCCCCAAATATTGAGTATTGGAATACAACATAACGTAATGAAAATTCAACCATATTTTAAAATGCATTGAAATATCATCAAAATTATCACTTCCATCATCATCATTGATCCAAAGATAAGAGGGAGTCCATTTAAATGATGAAATCTCACATTGATAATCATACAAATGATGATAATGACAACGATGAAGATGAAGATGACGATTTTAAGAAGAGGTAGAGTGCAGCAAAAGATTTAATAAAGGGTCAAAGGTTAAAGGACAGCTAGCAGCTTGAATGAAGTAAAAAGCGATAATAAAAAGCGATGAAGAACTTTACAACATCGTCTAATTTATCATTTCTCACATCGTCGTCGATACTCTCCGTAGACATATAGAAAAACAAAATAGCTTACTTGTTGATTTGCATAATAACCTCCAACTGGACTATCTCTTTCACCGCTTGCTCGTGGGATACCAGCTGAAGGACCACTCTTTTTCTTCATTGGTCTGTGCGAGGGAAAAGAATTGTTAGCGAATTATTTTCATCATTTAAATAAGAAAGAAAGAAGAAAGAAAAGTTAAGTTCAATACAAGGTGAAAGAAAGTTCCGGCTGTAACACTGTGTAACCATAAAACGCGACAAGTAGATTGACAAGCACAGCAGAAATACTTGAAACAATTTGTGGAGGGGCGAAGATAACCGGGGATGCAGGGTACTGAATGTTGATCAAAAGATACAAAATCCTTCAAGGAATGTAGAAAATCGGAAATCTGACGTGATACCAAAAGACATAAAATGAAATAATATATGGGAACTTACGAAGTTTTGACACGTAAACCTGTGCCATTCTTTGCCTTTCTAGATGGTCGATTAGATGAGGGTGTGCCAGCGCGTGAATTTGGTAACGATCCAGGAGGTAAGTCTGGTTGAAACCCAAGTCCTGTAGGTGAACTCATTTCTGAATCGTAATTGTTGACAGGAGCAGTAGTGGTTTGTCTTCTACTAGCTCGATCGTTCTTAGTGCCCAGCCGAATAGTTTTGGATGGACGACTAGAAGCTGTTGCAGATGCAGTAGGAATGGAAACAGAATCTCCATCATCAGATGCGTACTCAACAGGTCTACGAAAATTTGGAGGAGTGACACTCCTTGGCTGTATATCTGGACGAACAAAGCTCTCAGTTCGTATATCCTCAGTAATACCGTTGGTAATTTCTCGCGCCTTGCGCTTCCATTTACCAACCATCTCGCTCTCTTCATAAGTAGGGCGATCAACTGCCTGTGGCTTCTTCTTTGACTTGAAAACAATTTGTGGCCTTTTAGGCACCACTGGCTTTAATATTGGTACTGATCCAACCGAAGATGATGACGAGGTACGTATTAATTCAGGTGCCATGTTTGGATTGGCCTGATTATTGTCACTATCAACACGAAAGTTTGAATTGTTAGATGTATTGTGAGATCTGGTCGGAATATTGATAGCTTGGAAGGATGGAGGCGCGGGTGACGAAGTTTTAGATTTGTTCAGACTTCGACTCTTGTTATTGGTTTTCTTTGCCGTGGATGAAAATGTGTCTGATTCGAACCTAGACAAATCTTTGGATTTGATTGGTCGTTTTTGATTAATTGACCCTCCAGCATTTGACTGGGTCTCGGTTGACACGGACGCACCAAATTTGGCCTTGGCATTGGCGTTACCCACCCCAACAGTACCCTGTCTCTTCGATTGTTCGAAACCATCCGAAGGCTTTGCTGTGCCAGCATGATTATGAGCGTGGTCAAAATCCATAGGGTCATATTCATCATTATCGAGAATTTGTTCATCAACTGAAGATAATGATGATGAGCTTGAAATGGAAACTGCTCTTGGTCGATCTGATAATTTAGGCAGTGGGGGTGACAAAACGGGAACGGAAGAAGAAGCCGACGCAACTCCGTTCTGTTGCTTCTTCGTGATTCCATCAGTTCTATTTCCGATTCCAGGTCCAGTTGCACTTGCATCCAATTTTCCATTGGCGTCCTCATTTACAGCTGCAAAACCATTTCCTTTGTGCTTTTTATTGGGATAAAGGCCATGATCCCCCAGTTTTTTTGGGGATCCAGATGTAGAGGCTGGTTTAGCATCTGATGAGCGTCTGACAGAATCAGCAGATCCTAGCGTTGGAGGTTTGTTAGTAGAAGCAGATGGTGGTGGCGGAGGTGGTTGAGAATATGGTGAGGTATATGTCGTCGGGGGTTGTGTCGTCGCTTTAGCATATGGCGAAGCGTATGTAGTTCTTTTAGAATCGAATATGGGGGCAAAATGGAATACAGGTTGGGCCGGTGGTTGTTGAACTTGACGTCGTGGTCGAAGGGGTGCAGGGTCGCTACCATCTCCATTAAAATAATATTCCGCGGCCTTGTCCTTTCTGCCTTCCTTCTTCTTAAGCCCAATCAATCTGTAAAACTCCCGAACCTCTTCTTCCGTAGCTTCCTCGTAGACCTGCTTTTCAACAAGTATGCCGAAATTTTCAGGATCTTCATCGTAGAGTTCCCGTAAAGCATAGGCAGTACACCAACGGTGCTCTTCGATCGCGTGGGAGACAGCCAACTCAACAATTCTAGCCGTCTTTCTGCGAGAAGCCGCCTCAACTGCACGAGCCCGACCCTCCCTTTGACGAGCCTCGTCTCTTTCATCATATGTATAATTACTCATTTTATGAGCATGATAGGAAGCTGTAGAAGGCGACTCGTTTGGAAGGGATGTGCGCTGGACTGGAGAAGTTGCATAAATGCTAGGTCCTTCACTTTCGTTTCGTACACTGGGAGGTGCGACACTCGATCTGGTAACACTTTTTCGCGCGCTTCTTGGTTGTTGAGGTGTTGATGGTGGTACGTTTTCGAATTCTTCAGTTTTCGTAGATGTGGATCTTCTCCGCGAAAGGTTCGAAATAGGTTCCGTGGTTTCCATCGCTTCTTGGGGTACGGCCTGGGGTGTCGCCGATAAAGAGGGTGGAAGTGAATCATCCACCACTTCGGTAACACCATTTGGTCTGCTTCCATTCGCATCTGCTACCTCTGGTTTGGCAGAAGACTTAACAGCCTTTGCGCTCGGTCGCGTTCCAAGTGGTGCCATGTTTGCGACCACTCCATGCCTCTCCATTCCAGCTTCTGCAAAAGATGGCATAGGAGTAGGAATAGGAGGTTCCGTCCATTTATCCATAAACGTTCTTTTTCGACCTGTATCTGCTACTGTAGCTGGAGAGGAATTCGGATTCCGTTGTGCGGAAACAAATGGACTGGAACGACGAGAGCGTGTTGGGCGAGAATTGAGTTGGCTCATAGCTTCCTCGCTCGTCGCCTCCTGCGACCGACCCGACTCCTATCAATTGCGATCGCAGTCCCAATACAACTAATGAATTGTTAGTTAAATGATTATATAATTTCAACGGATTTCATATACTTCTCTTCAATTCGCAATCATAGAAATGTTCTCGAACGTTGTTTTCAAGGGATATGTACGCGTTGAATTATCGTGGTATGATTGATTTGAGAGGGAAAGAAAGTCAAGTTCTCGCTTCGAGATGAAATCCCTTAGCTAGCGCCCCTTGAGAGCCGAAATCGTTGGGTTGCTTTAAGTGCGCGAAACAATAAAAGGCAAATGACGAGTTTGAATCTATTGTCCTTTTCAATAGATCATAAAACTCTTAACTACAATAGAAGAATCAATAACCGATTCTGATAGATGATAATCTCGACAAAAAAGTATCTTATTGAAGGAGATATATCCTCCTATTTGAAAGGTGATTGATCGCGTAAGTTTTCTCGTGCCGTACTCGTATCATGTGAAGAGACACGGTACCATGAAATAATGAATGAAAAGAGGGGCAGAAAACAACACCGGAGAAGAAGAGATAATTTACCTGGTTGGCTTGTTATTGTGAGAAAGTAGTAAATAGAAACAATATGTTGAAGGAGAGCAGGAAGAAGAAAAGGTAGAGGTCGAGCAAGTGGATGAGAAGTGGAAGAGGAAGAAGGATGAACGTGGTGAATTGAATAGCCTTCCAAGGTTGCTCTTATCGATACCAAGATGGATGAAAAGATGAAATTAATTGGTGATCGAGAGAGGAAAAGTCGCTTAGATCTGCTGCTGGATGGGATGGATAGGGCGGCACTAAGTGGCTGCAAACACCTTTCGTTTTAATTTTCTCCGACCGGTTTTGATGGAATCAAGAGAAATGTGCAGTTGGAAAGGTTGTTGACGAGAGTTTTGGAGAGTTATATTTGGTTGATGATCTTGGAGACGAAGACGGGAAGCGAAAAAGGTAAAAGGAACACTAGGCAGGTAATTTCTGGGCTTTGCCTTCAACCTAATGAATCCTAACCGAGTATTCCAAAAAGAAGGCACTGTACCAATTTACACGTCACATCACATAGCTGAAAGTCATGGAAACACGCAATTATTGATGATTGAATTCACTTGCACCATTATTTCAATACTCATGTATTTGCAGCGTATCTCTGAATTTGAGAAGCTTCCAACTGCTCAATGAATTTCCCTATGGGCTGCAGACCCGAGTTACAACATAGCATCACTCGCTCTTCCCATTGACAACAAAAATGAGGCAAGAACAGTGAAATGCTTGACAAGCTTTTATGAAGCAGTGTCGGCAGCAAGATACGTAAATATGTGAAGAGTAGACTTGCAAAGTAATTCGTGAAACACATCATTTGTCAACTTTCAATTGATTCAATTGTCATCTCTGTCCCATCACGTGCGTGTTCCTGATCTACCTATTTACTCTGCTGCAGCAGGCTTCTTAGCAGCCTTCTTCTTCTTATCCTTAGCCAAAGGTTGCTCCAAAATCTTGAGGATCTCTTCGTCGGTGATCTTCTTATCAGTCTTGAACTTGCTAAGATCTGGCTCGGGTGGCGAGGCAATCTTTTGTAAACCGTTTTTGGTAATTGCTGAACATGTTAGTCAAATGTTTCAAAGATAGATGATTCATCATCTGCTTACCAATTGTGGTCAATAATCTTCCTACTGCCTCGTTGTCCTTGTCTCCAACGACTTCGTATTGTCTGAAAACGTTTCCACGTACACACTCGACAACACCGACCTTGGCATCTCGCTCGGATTCCAGTTGTCTCAAACTGAATGGGAAGGTACCAAACTTCTTCACAACCTCATTCATAATCGCTCTGGAACTTGGTCGCTTCAAGGCGTATGTAAGGTTGGTACGACGATGAAGAGTGGTTCTGTTCTCAAAGTTCTTAATCTTTCCAGAGCCAAGAGAAACACCCATCTCAACACCCCAAACCTCGCCAACTTCTGGAACACCATCACCTCTTGTACCATCTCCTGGAGCGAGGATGATCTTCTTCTTTCCTTCAATTTCGTTGCGCTCGAATTGCCAAGAGGTGGTGTGCTCGACCAAGTTGCAGTCGTAACTCTTAACCAATTTCTCGAGTAAGCTGGTAATCTTAGCTTGAGTAGGAGCTTTAATAGTTGCTGCCTTCTTTTGCTCCTCCTCTGTGCCAACTGGGACCAATCCAGAGGGAACCATTAAACGTAACAGAAGCTCGTTTGCATAGTGTGTCGCCAACAACAAGTCTGCATCTCTTCCACTGATCTCTCCATTTGCGTTGTCGGCAGAGGGAATGACAATGGTATCACAAACAATTGTTCCGAATCCATCGATTTGTGCACCGAGTTGAATCTTGATAGCTTCGCCTTCTTTGAGAACAACGCTTGCTTCGGCTTCGTCCGAGGTAAGAGGGGTATAAGGTGTTACGAAAGCTGAAGGAGAAACAGTGGTTGGGTGGGCAATACCTTTTTGTTTGTTAGTTAAATTAGTATCATCAGTAGAGAAACATTCTTACCCTTGACCATCTTCTTTCCTCGGTAGACCTTTGCGATCTCTTCCTCGAGGAGCTTGTCACCCTTCTCGCAAATTGTCACAATTTTCTCGCCAGCCACACACAAGGCAGTGACATCCTTCAAAACCTTTTGGGAGATAGTAGCAGCATTCTTGTATTTGGTGAGAGTATCGGGGTTGTTGAGAGAGTAATCTAGCAATAGTTGATATTGTTAGTCAATCGATGGCTTGAGTTGTCTTCATGCTGGTTGTGCAGATTCTTGTACATCCTTCGAGTCGCATTGGCGGGGTCCAGTTTGCTCAACAACTCACCAACATCAACAGAGTGAGATGAAGCTGATGATGGAGAAGGAAAAAAGGACAACTTACCAATCTCTTGGTTTTCTTCCTTCTTGTCGGCCATGATTGCGATATTCTTATGTTATGGGTCGAAGGTGTCAAGGGTAGTATTGAGATTTATTGTTGTTGTAAAGTCTGGAGGTGCAAAAACAATGTTTTCTTATTTTCCCCTCACAAGTGAAAGTCCAAGGTAGAGGATCCAGGCGAGCCAGGTACTTTACCGCTTTGGAAGGATTAAGGATTGTGTGGGCTTTGTTTCGCTTGGTGACCTCACCGAGCTTCATCTATGTATGCCTGTCCTGTGCCTATCTATGCCTGTGCCTTTTTGCTTCGAGCTCCTTGCTGTTCTCGACTGCATTAAGCAGGAGTTAGGGGATTGAGTATGTACGAGAAATTCGAGAAATTCATTGTAAGATCAGGACCGGTGGTACTGCGCTTGTTTTCGTCAACATATACCTGAATACTTGATGTACTTGATGATGGTTGAATAATGTGTGAATTTTTACGGTTCAAATGCATTCAAAGAATGTTCTGTTACCACCACCACCACCACCACCACCACCACCACTAGCTATTCAATCACACCACCCATGAATTTGTTCGGGAGGCAGCGGCCCGCATAGAAGCTTCTCAGAGCTTGTACCTATCTAGTATTGGATCGCCGTTTCGTTGTTGTTTACCTAGGTACCTTAGTAGACACTTTTGCCAATTAGTCTGCCTCCACGGCAGTGGCTCCTAGAGGGCCAGCGGAGCGACATTTGACATTTCAACTATTCAGGTGACTCAGGTTTTGCCTATCATTATAATGAAAGTACTCTCCCTCGTCTCCGAAGAATCCCGTTTTCTCATTGCGTTTGAGAGTTTGGATGGTATATACTTGAGTATCAAATCTATGGAAGTGGCTCATTGGGTAAGGAATGCCTAGTACCTGGGCACATTATATTATCTACCCAGGCACGTGCCAGGTCGCATTCTGCCTCAGCTCGGCAAGATCAACACAGTGATGACTAATCAAGCTCTTGGAATTAACATTCTTCGCGGTCAACCGTAGAAGCTTACTATGGAGTACTCTACAAGCCAACATCACAATTAATCAACCATACCCGACCTACCTAGGTACCTCTACCTATGGATCACTAAACTTACGCCTCACTCCTCACGCCTCACTCACGCCTCGTGTATTAGTCTGTGTACATATCCATTTATCTTGTCGCGAGTTCAAGGTTCGCGATTATGAGATTCATAATTGTGCATTATTGATAATTAAATCCACCTTCCACTAACTACATTCTTTCTTTCATCTTCTCACATTCGTCGCATAGTTGTCGCGAATGTTTTCGCTATGACACCAGATATCCAGCAGACTTCTCAAGATGATTCTTCCTCAGCTAATGCTAATGCAACTGCACCTTCTGAGTCTGCGAATCCCACTCCATCCCAGTCTTCCACTTTAACTCATCGACCTCGAACGAAATCAGATTTCGATAAGCTATTACTGGAACAATACTTACATCACACTTTAATTCATTCCGCTGCCATTGTCGATGACCAGGACAAACGGAAGGCTTATTATCTCCACAAACATCACGAAGCGCAAGATTACGAGCTGGTAAAAAACCACAAAGATGTCTTTACCGCAAGTCGATTATATGGGACAGGTTACAATGGATATGGGAATGGATTCACCGATGGACCAACAAGAATATTATATTCGCATGCGAAATTCGCGAAGAGGAAAGCGAAGCCATTGCGAATTAAGCGCAAAGATATGGCCATGCAGGCAGATCAAGTGGAAGAGTTGGTTCCCATAAGATTAGATGTGGATTGGGATAAAGTGAAACTTCGAGATACCTTCACTTGGAATTTGCATGATCGAACGGTTACCACAGAGTTGTTCGCGAAGCAGCTTATAGCGGACTTTGGTCTGATTACTCCAGTAGCAGAACCGGTACTACAACAAGTTCAACAACAGATGCATGATCAAATCGTCGACTTTAACCCCTTGGTTTACTTTCCGGAAGACCCCCTGGATGAAATGTTACCATATACGGCATACAAGAATGATGAGCTGCGCATCCTCATCAAGCTTAACATCACTATTGGACCACATACCTTGGAAGACAAATTCGAATGGGATATTAATAATCCTTTGAATTCACCAGAAGAGTTTGCGCAAAGTATGGCCAAAGATTTGTCCCTTTCTGGGGAATTCACTACCGCAATCGCACACTGTATACGTGAACAAAGTCAATTGTTCATACGGAGTTTGTACGGTGTTGGGCATCCGTTCGATGGCAGGCCAGTAGAAGATGCCGATTTAGTCGCAGCATTTTTACCTTCACCTCTACCCTCAGTATTACGGCCACATCAACAAATCAAAGAATTTGCGCCATATCTGTATGAAGTGACGGAAGCAGATTTAGAGAAGCACGATTTAGTATTTTCGCGAGAACAACGAAGGCAGAAGAGATCTGTAAATAGGCGAGGAGGGCCGGTCTTACCAGATCTAAAGGACAGGCAAAGAACAGTGAGAACTTTGGTTGTTTCTTCTGTATTACCTGGAGCAGCAGCAACGGTTGAAGAGAGTCGATTATACAAACGAGTAGGGGTACCATCGGGAAGAGGAAGACGTGCTGGTTTTGGTCGACAAGATGGTGCAGATTTATCAGAATCGGATGATAGTGAAGATTCTAATCCTGAATCACCGGCTATTCAAGTAAATCAAGGTACCGCAAGGACGAGAAATATGCGTGGAGCAGCTACAGCAGCTCAACAAAGAATGGCCAATATTGGAAGATCAGAAACTCCAGAATCTATGCTAGCACACCATCATGAAACTAGGACATCGGGGAGGAAATCTGGCCGTGACGCTCGCGAGGATACTGTGGATACTCCTTCACTGATAGTGAAATTGAAAATTTCGAAAGAGAAATTCAAGAAATTAGTCAAAGACATAGGCAAAGGTCGTTCGAGTCATCAACAAACTCCTTCTGTAACTCGCGCAACATCAACCTTTGGTACTCCTGCTCCACCCGGATCTATGGGTCCACCTTCAACACCCGGAGTTCAACCAGCTCAACCATTGGCAACAACACCAGCACCAGCTCCTACTCCACAACCAGTAAATGCAGTGGCAGTAGGTCAGATAGGTAGAATTGATGCGCCACCTCCTATACCTGGTCAAGCTCCTCCAGCTGTAAGTTTATATCTCTTAATACGTTTTGGCTCATGATTCTAGTTCACATACCTTATCCCATCACCGTCCCACCATCCCCTCATCCCCAAACTATTCCAAAACCCAACTAACACTCCCCATCAGCCCCCTCCACCCCCCTCCTGGCTAGCAACCGGCCTAACAGCCCTCCATCAACAATACCCCAACGATCGTTTCGAAGGTATGATGCGCTACTCGGCTGTTTCCATGACAACCGAAACTCCAGTCCCAGCACCAGCTCCAGGCACAAATCCTGAAGGTATCAAATGGATGTATCTTCCCAGAATCAGATGTCATGATTGTCCAGGGAAGTTGTATACCCCAGGTCCAGATACGACGGTGGGGAATTTTGAAGTGCATCTCAAGAATAAGGGACATAGGGAAAAAGTCAATCTGAGAGTTGGAGCACAAGTCACGAGTTGAGAGTTTGATCGAGTTGTGGAAGATGGAGGCAGAGGCTTTTTAACTGGGATTGAAATAGGAAGGATTGGAGATGCAATGAAATGGAATAAGCCGGCGAAAAACTCCAAATGTCAATCTGAATAGAGACATTGTATTATAGAATAGGATAGCGTGGTGCTTACTTACTTATTTACTGGCTCAATTTATCACGGGAATAAATAAAGTTTATTAGATTCACGCATAAATACACAGAGAGATACATAGCAGTTGACATAAGTAATATGATGTTATATGGATATGATAGATAGATAGACAGTATACCGATTCATATCATTCACATCAAACACAAACCCCACACAAACTTACCCATTTCCCCATCTCCGGAAACATGGCTTTTTCTTTCTCAATCCCTATTCATCCATCCATCCATCCATATCCATCCCAATCAATCAATCAACCAATCAATCAACCAATCAATCAACCAATCAATCAACCAATCAATCAACCAATCAATCAACCAATCAATCACCAATCAATCAACCAATCAATCAACCAATCAATCAACCAATCAATCAACCAATCAATCAACCAATCAATCAACCAATCAATCAACCAATCAATCAACCAATCAAAACAACCCTTTAACAACACCTCAAATCCATCTTACAACCATCTTATCCCCGCTTCCAATCCGCTTCAAATCCGCTTCAAATTCGCTTCAAATCCGTCTTATACCCATTCCAAGACCGCCCCAAGCCCACTCGCTTCAAGCCCACTCACTTCAAGACCGCTTCAAGACCGCTTTCCATATCCATATACATTTGAGTTTTGAATTTTGAGTTTTGAGTTTTGAATTTCACTCGGCCGAATTCGGTGGGATGAGGGATGAGGGGAGAGGGGAGGGGAAGTGGAGTTTTGTATTGTCGTATTGTCGTAAGAGAAATAGACAAATAGAAGCAGGAAAGAGGAAAGAGGAAAAAGAGAAATTAATAGGTAAGATTCTTATGGTGTGGTGGTGTGGTGGTGGTGGTATGGTGGAGATGATTTGGGGGGAGGGTCAGTCAGGGTTTGGAATTTGATAGAGGTGGGTGGGTGGGTGGATGGATAGGTATCTAGGTAGATGGGTATATAAGGGGGGTTGTGGTCCGGCTTTTTAGATGTGATTGATTGATTGATTTTATTCACATTTAGATTGACGTTTAGATTTAGATTTAGATTTACATTTACATTTCACTGATCGATTGCGAGTTTGAGATTATTCTACTTTCTTTGTTTACTCTTTCATACACTACACTTTCTACACTTTCTACTCAAAATCTACCCTAAAAGCCCACCCCCAAACTCCCCTCCCCCCCCAAAAATGTCACCCACCATCCTCATCATCGGCGCAACCGGCAACACCGGGCTCCCCCTCACCAATTACCTTTCCGCACACCTCCCGCCCACCCAACGCATCCTCGCCCTAAGCCGTTCCTCCAGCTCCCCCACCGCGCTCCATCTCGCCTCCCTCCCTTCCGTCCAAGTCCTCGAATATTCCTACCCCGAAATCACCACTTCCTGGCTCATCGAGCACGAAGTCCAAAGGGTGTTCATCTCGACCCACACCGAACCGACGCATTTCTCAGAAGAATCTCAATTCCTGCTGGCGGCCCGCGCTGCCGGCGTGAAATACGTCGTGCGCATGAGTACCACAGCCGCCAATGTGCACGCGGTCACGCTACCATATTACGCGCGGAATCACTGGGCCATCGAGACTCTTCTTTCCACGCCCGAGTTTTCTGCATCGGGAGATTTGAAATGGACGAGTCTCCAGCCGAATGGCTTCACGAATGTGTATCTCTATACCGCGGCGGCGTTTATCCGGGAATACCGCGCTACGGGTTCGGTGCCGGAGACTCTGCCTTTATTCGCTGATGAGGATGCAAAGGTGGGGATTATCAATCCGGCTGATATTGGGGTTTTTGCGGCGAAATTGCTGCTTGCTTCTGATGCTGAGGTGGAGAAACATAATGGCAAGAAATACGTGCTTAATGGTCCTGAAGATATTACCGGCCGGGGAATCGTAGACTTGGTGGAGAAATATCTAGATGGAAAGAAAGTGAAAGAGGTGAAGTATAGAGATACAACGATGATGGATGGGATGTTTGCACAATCGCCATATTCGACAAATTTAATGGCGAGTTTCAAGCATGCGCCGGAGGCGAACTGGAATGGAAAGTGCAGTGTTGCGACGACTAGTAAGGAGGTTTTGGAATTTGCTGCGCCAAAGGGAACACCAGAGGAGGCGTTGAAAGCTATGTTGGAGCAGTAGGCAGATTTTGACGTAGATGAATATTTTTGGAGGGGTAGGAGAAGTTTCAGTTGCTGATGAGTAAGGAAGTACGAAAATTGACGGTGTCGAAATGTACAATTGAGAATGTTTTGGAAAGGATTCGACAGAAGCGAAGACGTATTTAACTTCTTTTCATGTTCTCCTATCTAGGTGAGAAATGGATAGAAAGAAAAGTTTCACCCTTTCCTTTTTCTCGCATTCTAGATTGCCACCCTCACTTTCGTGTTTTCTTTTTGATGTACGTATTCGCCGAGTGTATAAATTTCAGAAATCAACATTTAGAAATAGCGATCATTGAAATGTGAACAATCAGAAAGAGAAAATCGCAGAAATAGAACTAGAAACAGTCAAGAGTTTGAAAGTAATAGATACAAAAATAAGAACTATGCAACAAAGGTACTAGGTAGATGGTATAAATAATACAAATACTCACACTTGTGAATCCAAAAATGTACAGTCGAAATGAAAAGCGATCTGCCTGAACCTTGATTATACCATGATCGTATGGTACCCTATTGGTCACATCACTCATAATTTGAGCCCCCTTTCCTGGTTCTATATACTCAGAAAAATCTTGATATAAACTATTATTCCATTCTGGATGTTCTGTTCATCTATCCCCTATTCCCCAATTCGAATACCAGATCCGTTCGTCTGTATGTTAATTTCAAGAAACACCCCATCCAATCCCTTTCCGCCTTATCCCTATTTGATAGATCCCACCCATGATAGACATCCCCAATCCAATACACCCCCAACCATCCATAAACATATCCGTAAAACGCCTTGCATGAATCGTCCATCCTCTACGATATCTGAACCAAACGAGACCATGATAATCAACTTGTGTTCTTGAGCATCTATGATTGGATGAATAGTGAACATCACATGCTTAATCCATCACCCTCCTGTCCCAAGACAACGCCAGATTTCCATGTACTGATGTATCCATAAATCAAAATACCTCTCGTTCCCATGAAATATCGCTAGAAAGAGATCCAAACCACCCCATTCCTGTACGCCCTACCCAAGAAATGTCTAGAAACAGAATCTAGAGAACCGAACCAATTTCTGAATTACAAGTGAAAGAAGCTCTGGATCGAAGGGATCGAATATTTGTAAGTAAGTGACCGAAACAGTGGGTGTGAATGTTCCAATCGGACTGAAACAAAAGAGGACTGAAACAAAAGAACCAAACCAAGTGTCCCAGAGAACATGAAGTAAAAAAATCAGAAATCCCGTAAAGCAAGCTCAAACTCTTGCAGCCATACTTTGTTTTCTTTGTGGAGCATTCTGCAACGAAAATCCACTCGGTCTTCTACCCGGCAAGCCCATTTCCCCATTTCCATTTTCATTTGTACCATCTCCCATTCCCCCCATTATCTCATCTCCCACAGCATCCTCTCCGTTCTCCATTGCCGGTGACGCTTTCTGGACTACCTTACAGATATTTAATGTAAATCCATTGGTAGCGTTATGTAATTGTTCCCATAATCTCTCATCTCTGTATCGATACTGGATTGGATATTGTATAAGTGGTGGGACTAAAGGTTGTGGATTCCAATTTGCGAGACCAGATTGAACGGCGAGAAGTTCTTCGTCAGAGTCGATAGGGCCATTGAGTAGTTCTTCGTCTTCAAGAGGGGCATTGGCGTCGATTGCTGCTTCTGTTTTTGTGATTAAGTTAGAAGTCGATCTTTGGAATTAGGAAAGAGTGCGGTTAGGACTGGGAAGAGGAAGGAAGGAAGGAAGGAAACAAAGAAATATCATACTTTGTTGTTTGGCTTGGTTTTTCTTCTGGTACTGCGAAAGAAGCATATCGTAAGGTAAGGTACGACCAGGAACAGCTCTTTTAGCTCCCATAGAATGCGATTTGCAGGTTAAGGAGCGGGCGCAAGGAACACCATCTTTCAGGACTCCACATTGGCGTTCTACATCGACTGGACCTTCAGAAAGAGTTAATTTGTTAGCTAAAAGTGTTTTCTGAAATAATCTTGTAGACCGTCTGGTCTCCATGATTGAGATAATTGGGTATTTCGATAAGAATGAAGGAAAAGATTAAATGCAAAGTAAACATCTTCAAAAGTCGGAGAACTCTTGAGACGAATAGTGAAACCCGCATAGAGTGACACTCAGATAGTCCCCCCTTTAGACGCTTCCACTACCTGCCTCCGCCGTCTTCCCCATTACCCCGCCAAAATATGAAATAGAAGCGATTATAGCTTCGGAGATCAAAAATGCATACCTTTGGTTCGGAGCCTTTGGTTTTGGCTCTTCCTTCTTTTTCTTCTGTTTTGGACCCTTTTCTCCCTCGCCATCTGCCTTTCTCTTCTTGCCCTTCGCATCCCCATTATTTTTACCCGCGCTCTTCTTCGAACTCTTGAAGCCACCCGGGCCCTTCTCCTCATCATCGTCATCATCATCACTGCCCATTTTTGTATCTCCATCTCCATCGACATCTTTATTTGCCAATTTCTTTTTGACCTTATCCCTAGCTTCTTTCGCCTCCTTCTTCTTTAACAATTTGACTCTCTTCGCATTCAAACATGCTTTTACATGCGAAACTGTTGCGGTCTTCAATACACTCTTCTTGCAATGCTTACAAACTTGTAAATCGGGGTCATCTTCTAAAGGTCTGCCTGTAGCAAATGTTTCAAGCGCGGCATCATCCAACATATTAACTACAGGGCCAGGACTTGGAATCGAATTCGCGATTGGTGTATCTGTTCCTTTCTTCTTCTCGTCGACTATTGTAGCCTGATTAGCCCCTCGTCATGAGTCGTGTTGTAGAATTGTGGTGGGAAGATTACCATCAATAATACTTCCTTCTCTCCAATTGCCAGGCTTATTGTGCTTCGGAGGTTGTTTCTTTAATTTAATAGTGCCTAATAACTTATCGCCTCCTCCTCGTTCTCTCTTGGGCGCGACTTTGATAGTTGAATCATCGTCACTCGCGACGGAAACTGTTGATGTTGATTAACATATTAAATTTCGACTGATTGAGAAGAAGATATTTACCTCTCCTGCTAGCCATATCGTCGCGAAACTTTGAGAAATTCTGTTGCAGGAGATGTGATGATGGTGGTTATTTCTTTGTAATTGGTGTGATGTTGGAGTCTGGACAAGGCTGAGATAACCTTACTGGCCCACTGACTAGGGTTGATCTCGACTCCTCGATTCGGTAAATTTCCGGCGATTTGTTCCTGCAGCCTGATCTGATCTGGCCTGGTTTTTGGCCTGTGATGTGTGTGGAGTTGTGGGGGATTTCAAGGTTGTCCTTGAAAAGAATTGTTCATATCTTTTTGCTCTCTCTTATCTGATGGTTCCAAAGGGAAAATTGTCGGCTTCAAAATTTGGTGAAGGGAGCCATTTGGTAGGAGGGAGGAGTGTAACCTTAGAGCCTCAACAAATATCTAGCTTTCAGAGTAAGACTCTTGCATCGATGAATGTACTAAAGATTTCCAACAAACCTTTCTTTCACAGCAAAATAACTTTCCCGTTTGGAACGCTGTACATCTTGACATGTATTCACGATGTGCTTGGTGCCTATACATCCATTTGTCTTGATAATTTCTACAGATATAATCAACTGAGAAATCTGCATCATTGAGATCTGTATATGACTTATTATACTACATATTATCGATTCTTTGTGGTATCTATCTAGTGAAATTTACTCCTTCCAAACTGTATCTTCGCTACATACATCCACATCTATTTCCTACCCCTACATCTAGGCACACCTCCCAGATATCCAAAACATAATGCAGCAACCACAGCACACATGCCAGCCACCACTGCATTCATATTCCCATACCCAATTCCCTCTCTCAAACTCCCCGCCATCACGGGTCCAACAGTGAATCCTGCACTGAAAACCATACTATTCAACGCATACAATTGTGCGTATGGTCCTTCCTCTCCAAATAACTCTGGATTGGCATTATGATATTTCTCCGCAACGTAAGATGCTTCCACAATACTCGGTGCTCCAATCAACGCCATCCCAAATCCACATAGTGATAAGAGGGCACAGTAAAGGACTAAGTCATGCGTTGTATTTGAAACGGGAAGACGAAGGAGGATCAGAGGTAGGATAAAAAATGTGTACCCAATTGTTCCAATGATCTTGGGCCCGTATCTATCAACTCCCATTCCAGCTAACGGACCGAAGATGAGAGAGGTGAGAACAATGGGGGTAAAAAGTAGTCCAGTTTGTAAAGCTGTAAATCCAAAGAGCGATTGTGACTGTGTGGGAATAGTGGCGTCGAAAACTGCAAGAATAGTAGCTTGCATGAAAGCTACTAGTTCTGCTGTAAGGAGCCGGGGAGAAGAGAGAAGATAAAGAATTGGAAACTTTTTGACGGATTTTGGGAGTTCTTCGCGAATTTTCCAAGAGTCAAGATCTGAGTCTTTTCCATTCCCGAGCAATGGCGCCTCTTCTCCATTTCCATTTCCACTCTCACTCGCCCCTCCTTGTTCACTTCCGTCCAATCCCTCCTCAACCCCCCACTTCCTCGCAACCTTCTTCTCAATAACCGCCACTCTCATCCCAAAGTCCACCCCTAAAAGCGCAATTCCCATTCCAAAAACCGCATTACTTCCCACCTTGTCATAAACCACTCCTCCCAACACCGGCGCCACCAATTCCCCCGTACTGATGAAACTGAAAATAGTTCCAATCGTGACTCCCAATTTCTCACTTCCAACAGTGTCCATCACGAGCGCCAATCCAATTGTCCAAACTGTTGCTCCTGAAACACCCTGGAAGATTCTCGCGATTATCAAGACCTCTATACTCGTTCCTAGCATTAGGAGCACCGTACTCGCTAATAGAGCTACCAAGCCTACTAGGAATGGAAGTTGACGAGAAGATAAACGATCGGCGATATAACCAGCCGGAAATGAAAATAATACTGATGCTCCTGCATAACAGGCAAGGAGGACAGAAGTGTAATATTGAATTTCCGATTGTTCAACTCCTATTCGATCAGAAAGGATAAAGGGTAAGATGGGCACGATGAGTCCATATAAAAACAAATCGGTAAACATGCCAACGGCTACCGTGGATAGAATGAAGAAGGTATTAGAACGGGCTTCCAATGCCCAGGGACGTTTTGATGAAGAGGATGCCATCGAGGCTATTGATGCCATGACTGGCGATTTCGAATCGTGGAGATATCAATCCGTGGCGGAATCAATCTGAATTATGATAAAAGTGTCGAACTTAATCAATGTTGAGGATTATGATGTCTGAAGAATATATGAAAGAAAAAAACTGGAAATTTACATAAGAATTTGTTGTGCATGTCGTCATGTGTAAATCTTTTTGCCTGGAGTACTCGAGTACTTCCAAAGATTTTTCTCTTCCAATGAATTTTTTTTCTGCGGGTAGACCCGAAGCTAAAAGCTAGTGTGTAGTGTAAGTCGGAATCAATTTCGGAATTGTTGTCCTATCGGGAAAGATATAAGATGAAGATGTAATATAAAGTATCGAGATGAACCAACCCAATTGATATGTTATGAGAAGTTTGGGTTTGTCAAGCTTACCTATATTGTTTGCTTTGTTGGTTGGGTTGGTTTTACGAAAGTATGATAACTTTATCCGAGCTATTCATCCAGGGGTATTTTGATATCATGAAGCTCCTTAACTACTATATAGATCTACTAGGTAGGAAGCGCGATAGACCTCCACCATGCGCGCGGTAAGATTTATGATAAGGCACATGGAATAAGAGTAAAGTAAAGTGCAACTGAATCTTATAAAATATATTCTATATAACCCCACGGTATCTGCTGTTCCTCTCTCGTCTTTTTGCTTAAACATTTTCATACATCACAGCTGTAAAACAAATGAACTCACAAAGTAAACTCCTCCACTCCTCTCCCTAACCCCCTTTCGCTTCATAGGTATTCTTCTCAGGTATCCATCATCCAACCCATCCCCCTTTTCACCCCTAGAAAATAAAAATCATCATATAAATACAGAAAAAAGCCTCTGATTTGTATGAAACCAGAAGACTCCCAATTCACTCCAACCTCAACGTAGAAACGAAGTCCATAATATCCATCCCTCCCCTCTTGATAAGTAAAGAAATCCACAAATGAAAACCCACTTGATTATTTGGCTTTAAACCAACTTTCCTCTTCATTAAATATAGCTAACCTTGACTCCCATCCCTATTGTTCTCTTGACCCTGCCCAGTCCCTCGCTCATCATCCTCCTGATTCTTTCCCTGACTTCTCTCCTTCCGAACACAACTGCTATCCCAGCTACGAAAGCGACCATTCTTAACATGGCCATCGGATTCTTTAAATTAAAATTTCCTCCCATGTTTTGAAGGACCAATGTCAAATTACGCATTATAATTCCCACCTTTTCTATTATAGTTTTTTGTTTTGTTTCTTCTACCGATTTTCGAGAATGTGGTTTAGTGGTCGAAGATTTGGAAGATTTGGAATGTCGAGGATTGTTAGGCGATGAAGACGATGTTATGGATCCATTAGTCATTACTGGAGCTTCATCTTCAATCCCGTAGTCGACTTCTGATGTCCCTCCTACGCTTGCTCTGGATTTCTTATCCATTTCTTCTCGTCTCCTTTCCTCTTCTTCTCTCCGACGTCGACTTTCTTCTATATCTCTCTTGAGTTGTTCTTCTCTGTATTCCTTTTCCATTCTCTCTCTCCTCTCCCCTTCCTCACTTTCTTCCTTAAGGCTTCGCAATGCCCCAAGGAAAGCCTCTCTTCTTTCATCGTCCAAAACTTCACTAATCGTGATGAATTCTTTCGCATAATCCCATTCATTATTTCGGAGTAGGACATGTAGGGTATAGAGTTCTAGAATCTTTACGCGAGCATTTAAGTCTCGTGGTGTATCTGTTCCGGGTTGGGAACGACGTTTGGAACCTGGGAATGGATTTGAGGCCGTGGGTGTAGAGGATTGGGACATAGAGAGGGATGGTGTATTTGATGTTGCGAGATATGTTTCAAGACGAGTCTGGTTCACCTTTTGGGTGCGAGCATGAGCTAAGAGAAGAGTTGCTCTATTTTATTGTTAGTTGCTTCCTTTATAGTGGAGAGATATCTGGGGGTTGAGAGGGTGCGGGGAACACGAACAAGTTTATGACGACGTCTGAATCTACATCCCCTTCAATTCCATGATATCCGTTTTTGACAACCTCCTCCCAAACTTCTCCGTCCCTAACCTTGGCGACGAGTGCTCTGAATTGACTTGTTCCGAATGCTTGCTTTCCTTCGGCAGGGTCCAATTCCAAAATCGCATTCAAGATTGTAAGGTATAAACTCCAGACTTTGATGCGAGTCGTACGGGAAGCTTTTGATATTGGAGCCAAGGATTTCGCAGGGTCATCGGGATTGGCGTTCTCGGTGTCGGAGGGAGAGGATGGTGTAATTACTGGTAAAATGGTTGAAAGCGATTCAGGTAGACGACGCGTTAAAAAGAGCGTTGAGGCTTGACGATAAGTTTTCGAGATTTGAGATGTATGGCGAGATGAAGAAAGGGAATTGGAAAGGGATGAATGGGACGATGAAATTATATGTGATGAAGATAGCGGATCTGATGGATTGATCGCCGTAATAGATCCATGAGAAGCCATGTCTGCCGAAAGGTTGTAGAATTGAAAGTAACGACGCGAATAGATCGAAGGAATTAAATACGGGTGGAGGGGACGTCGGGGAATGAAGAAATGAAAGGCAAAAGGACTAGGACGTATGTATGTATGACATTTGAAAATGTCTCTGATGATTGTAACGAGGGAAACGGTTTAAAGCCTCGGTCCAGGAAGGTTAATATGATTGAGGCATAGGGCGGTGTGTTGACTCATGTGATTGGTTGCCCAGGTGGTTGATGAAATTAATTATGAAAGGCTTGAATGAAAATGCAAGGTGGTATAAAATTATGCACACGCTTCACTTCCAACAAAGAAACAAGAAGCACGAGATCAAAGTAAGCAGGTGAGGTTTGATTTAAGAAATACTATTTATTATCTACTCGGAGAGCTACCCTACCTAGTT